AAAAAAAAAAAAAAAAAGAACTATTAATGATTACCAAATCATCTGCGATTCAAGTAAGTGTGGAAAGGCTGATCTGCATAACTGCGGGGGGGGAGGGAGAAAACTACTGAGTTCAGTTATACTACACTGATTTACATAAACTAAGGATCTGACACAGCACCTATAAACATTAGCTACCTGTAAACCAGTAGCTCTCGAGTGCCCTGAGATCCTTTTAGGAGTGCCATGCCTATTGTCACTATTAGGTGTGTACACATGATTCATAAGAAAACGCTAAAGCTTTCAAATAGGAATCCACAGTGTTAAGCCGTTTTGACCTGTTGTGGTCCAAGTTATTTGCAATAAAATTGCTCTATTATTTTTATGTAGGCAAAAATCAAGTGAAAATTAAGAACTATTGTTTTCTAAAGGATGCCTTGAGTTTAATAAGGGGTACCTTGAGTCTAAAACAGTTGAGAGCCACTGCTCTAAAACATTAGCCAAAGGAAAATGAAACCACTTCCTGCAAAATGACCCTTTCCCTGAAACCTTCCATTAAGTACTGACCCAGCTGGATACTGCTTAGTTAATGAGGTAATACTGCATGGAAAGGTAGCAGAGTTTCACATAAAAATAAGGAACTGTAGTCATCCACATGAAAATAAGATGCTTTTCCTAAAGTCATACGATATAATAAAGAATATTTCCTGCCAATCTCCCATTCCCCTCAACCAGTGCCATTCCCCCCCTACCCACCCAGCTTGTCAAAAGGGGTGAAAATCGTTTAGAAAAATGTAAGTAAAGCAAGCCATACTTTGACTCGAGCAACTCTGCCAGACTTATTTGTGTTTTTTTTAAACAGATCATACACACACAACTCCATGACTTCTTTTTTCTTAATCATAAATAATTCAGTTTTACAGACGCTTTTATAATAAGCTACAAAACTAATTTTAGCTTAAATTACTTTACCAAAATCATCTCAAATGGAGCTGAAGTAATCTGGGTGTTCCCAGAAACCATGTTGTAGCATGAACTGAACTAATGCAGCTGATGTTAACATAGAGTGTAATAATAGTGAAATGTAACCATGTTAGTCTTGTCCTGTAAGCAACCTGAAAACTCCATTTTGTACCCTTCTGCTCAACA